TCCTGAAAGAAGGACGCTATGTAGGACACCATGGCCGAACAGGATCCATTTTGGTGATGACGGCCGATGGCGTGCGAAGAGGCGCAGGAATCCGGCGGCTGAGTTCAGCCGACCGCTGGGACCCAAGTGATTGGGACCTTTTGCGGGGCTTACCGTGGGAGCACTCCGCGGCAAGGCCTGCCGGTGAGCAGCTGATGCTCGAAGAGCGCCTTGTGGTACCACCTCCTAAGGAGGAACGAGTGGCACCACCACAACAGAGGCGAGTGTACATCAGGAGAGAAGATGTGCACAAGCATGGAGCCACAGAAGGCTGCCCAGGATGCAGGTGCATCTTGGAAGACAAGAGGACGACCTTGCCGCACACAGAGGCGCGCAGAGCAAGGATCACCGAAGCAATGGAAAAGGATGAAGCAGGGCAAGCGAGACTTGAAGCCCATGCAAAGAAGAGGAAGGAACGGCAACAGCTTGACACTGTGAAGCCGAAAGTCGTGGCCGACAAGGACACTGACATCACGGCCGAAGATGCGGCCGGAGAACCAGAGAGGAAAGACGAAGCAAAGAGCGCAGGGTCGGGAAGCTCGCCGCCAGCAGCGGCAGAGGGTGAGAAAACCTATCCCGATGACCCGAAAGAGAGATATGAGATGAAGAGGCAAGCAGCCGAGATAGAGAAGAAGCCAGTGGCGAAAGCCAAGGTAGCAACAGAGCCCAAGAAGAGAACAGGAGAACTTAGAATAGATCCACCTGGAGCAAAGGTCAAGCCAAACCCGACACAAGGAACAAAGAGGACCGCAGAAACCGCTGTAGAAGAGCTTGATCCCAGAGTGGAAGAGAGTCCAAAGAAAACGTCTCAGTTTTCACATGTTCCAGAAACACCACCAGCAGGGTGGAAGCCAGATGCAGCCAGCCTGGTAAGAGAGAAGGAGATCGCAAAGCAGCATCTGAAGAAGATCATTCAAGGAACCTATGAGGCGAATGACATCGAGATCACTGAGCAAGAGATCGGAGACATCGCGCACTTGAGCATGCAGATATCAGCAGTAGATGTCATGGAGATCTACTCGCCCAAGAGGTTCACCGCTCTTGCAGAGCGATACAAGTTGCGACCGGGTTTTGCGGTCGACTTGAATGAAATGAAAAGTGACGGAACATACTGGGACTTGAACAAGCCAGAGGATGTTCAAGAGGTGCATGATATCCTTGAGAAGGACGAACCTGCCCTTTTGACTGGTTCGCCTCCGTGCCATATGTTTTCACAGCTCCAGAACCTCAACTGGAGAAGCATGGCGCCGGATGTCCGGAGGAGGAAGATGGACGAAGCCGTCCACCATCTCCATACGAGTGTAGAGCTGTATGTCAAGCAGCATCGCTCAGGGAGAAAATTCCTCCATGAGGCACCTTGGTCCGCGACTAGTTGGAAGGATGAGAGAGTCGCGGCCTTAGCAAAGGAAGATGGAGTGTTCATAGTGAAAGGTCCGATGTGTAGGTGGCAAATGATGGCCACTGACAAGAGAGGACTCCAAGGCACCGGCTATGTGAGAAAGGAGACCGGTTGGATGACCAACGATGAAGGGTTGGCCAGAGTCTTGCAAGGAGTCTGCTCAAATGAATCGGGCAACGGACCATGGCACCGACGCATCCATCTGATAGGAGGCATTGCAAGGCAGGCAGCGGTATACCCACCGCAGCTTGTGAAAGCAGTTCTGAGGAGCCTGCGTGACACACTAGCAGAGAAAGGTGAGTTGAACACCTTCGATCTGTTTGCAGCAGGCCCAGTTCCAGAGATGCCCTTGACGGACCCTGAGTTTGAAGAGGTCTACATGGACGATGTGAACGGCGGTATTTTGCCAGCCGAGAAAGTGAAAGAGGCAAGACGCCTTGAGATGGATTACTTGAAAGAGAAGCATGGCGTTTATGTGCCCCGGCCGAGAGCCGAATGTTTTGAGGAAACGGGGAAGCCCCCAATTCCAGTCAGATGGTTGGACACCAACAACGGAGATCCAACAAACCCGAACTATAGGAGCCGATTAGTTGTGCGTGAGATAAAGGCAAGAAAGACCAAAGAAGAACAATTGCCAGCCAACTTGCTTTTCAGCAGCACGCCCCCATTGGAGGCGATGAGACTGCTGTGCTCGTTGTGGGCAACAAAGAGAAAGTCCTGCCACAACCAGCCGTTGAAGCTGGGCTTGTGGGACATCTCACGAGCACACTTCTATGGAACTCCAAAGAGAAAGATCTACATAGAGCTGCCGCCTGAGGACGAAGCCAGCAAAGATGGGCAAACCTGTGGACTTCTCGTGAAGTCGATGTATGGCGCGCAGGACGCTCCAAATATCTGGCAGACGCACTACACAGAGACTCTGCAGAAGGCTGGCTTCCGCAGAGGTTTGTCAAATGCGTCAGTCTTCTACCAAGAAGCTTGGGACGTCAGAGTGATGGTGCATGGATATGATTTCCTGGCACTAGGAGACACCCAACACTTGGAGAAGCTCAGCCAAGTCCTCAAAGATGCCTATGAGCTGAAATGTCTCGGAATTCTTGGAGACGAGGATGGAGACCGAACAGAAGCTCATTTTCTGAATCGGTTAATCCGAGTCGAGAAGAAGAACGGCAAAGGATCGATTGTGATCGAAGCCGATCGGAGACATGTTGATCTTTTGATCCAGGCATTTGGTCTGGAAAAGGCAAATGGTGTAGAATCACCAGATGTCAAGAAGTCGGCAGATCAGCAGATGCTGGAAAGCCGCAGTCCGCTGCTTGATAAGAGCGAGGCTTCAAAGTATCGTTCAGCAACGATGCGAGCTGCGTACTTGTCCCAAGACCGACTTGATATTGGACACGCAGTCAAGAACCTTGCTCGAGGTATGGTATCACCAACAGAAGCCAAACTTGCAGACTTGAAGCGTCTCATCAGGTACTTGAAGAAATACCCTGATGTTGGGCAATGTTTTGGCTCACAACAGACACCCTCAAGGCTGAGGGTGCAGGTCGATGCCGACCATGGTGGAGACGCTGTGACGCGCAAAAGCACGACTGGCATGGTTGCTATGTACGGCGTGCACGTGTTGAAACACAGCAGCAACATCCAATCCACCATAGCCCTTTCCACAGGCGAGAGCGAATACTACGCACTCGTGAAGGGCGGATCTGTGGGCTTAGGACTTCAAAGCCTATGCGCAGACCTTGGTTTGGATTTGGGAGTCACCATCGAGGGCGATTCCAATGCAGCCAAAGGAACTGTGAATAGAGTGGGTTTGGGTAAAGCCAGACACATCCAAACTCGCTACCTATGGTTGCAAGAAAGAGTTGCCGAAGGCCACTTGAAAGTGCACCACGTTCCAGGAGTCAAGAACAAAGCCGATGTTTTGACCAAATCGGTTCCTGGGGTGCAGCTTCGCAAAACCATGGAGGACCTGCAGTATGCATTCCTCAGCAAGCGAAGCAAAGGACAGTTGGACGTTTTGGAGTAAGGTCCCTGGCCAAGCTCCACTACCACAACTGAAAGTGGCTAAGCAGCGAAGAGTTTCACATGTTTTACTTTGACTTGCGCAGCAGTACAGTGCTTTGCAAGAGGAGGAGTGTTTGCATGTACAGCCCATACATAACTCCGCTAGGACTGCAGACACGTGACTCATGACGTGTTTTGGCTCAAGGGAGAAAAAGGCGTTCCGAAACGTCGAAACCTCGTTTACACGATTAGACATCAGAACAGGAACATGCCTACAGAATCAGAACGCTATCTCCCTACAGAATCAGAACATGCCAAACTATCTCCCTACAGAATCAGAACACGCCAAAAAGACACTAAAGAGACCACAAATCATTGCAAAATCCTTTTCACTACAAAGCCATCTGGCCAAAATGTGGCTCCTGAAAGTCAATTTTTGGAGCTCTTGATGCTCCGGTTGTGATTTTGTAACAAAATTTTTGCATCAATCAATCCTTGATGTTGTAAAGTCAGATGATTGCCTGAGGGCTGTGAGTTTGCAATTCGTAGACTTCACAGGGGGGACCCTATGGTTGGGTTCTTGAGTTGTAACTACAAAATCAGACACCCCAGCCTTCTCCCGAACTCACAGGGAGATAAAAAAGACATGTTTTACGGCGTAAACCAAATGCACCTTGGTTAGCGTGCATATTTTCGTTTGGTTGGTTTCGGCCGGTGTGGTGGAATCCTGCAAGACTCCCCATGTGACGGCAGTCTCGTGGCACACATGGAGCTGAGAGCTTAAGCAACATGAGCGTCAAGGTGACAGTGACAGGAATCATTTGAATAGACCTGTGACACCTTCCTCTCCATGAGATTCCTTTGCCACCTTCCTCTCCATGTTGGCTCCAACGCCAGAAAGAGAACAAAGAGCTTCTAAGAAAAGGATAATGGTAGCGATGAATGGAAAACACACACACACACACGTCTTAGGTTGGAGGCCATCGCTCTTAGGTTGGAGGCCATGGGCCATCGCTCTTAAGGTGGAGGAAGACACGCGTCGTCATGGTCGTGTTTGTTGGAACCGGTCACAGCCTGCCAGGCCAGCCAGTTGCAACTCACCGCTCTGTTGTTTGATTCTCAAGATATAGGGGACCGAAGGCAAGACATAGCCCGAACAACACAAGATTTTGGGGTTTGTGCGACGCTGCAACCAACATGACACCGTTCAGACCGGCACCTGTTTTTGTATTTTTGTGTGAAGTTTTCCTAAAAATCTAGGAACCAAATCATTAGCACGAGCTGTCCTGCGTCCAAAGTAGTAGCTACTTAACCCACCAGCTACCTCAGTTCCTTACTTAAGTAGTCGCCGACTTAATTAAGTAGGGAGGGGCGGGGAGCGGGCTTCAACAAAAACAAGACACACCACCTCTGGTTTCTCTCTAAAGCAGTCGTGGTGCGTTCCGTTCCGTTCCGTTTCCGTTTTAAGGAGGAATACGCTGGTGTGGTCTCTCAGATCCCCATCGCGGGACTCATCGACCCCATCGTGATCCGCATGAGCTCCGAGACGGCGGTGGTGGGTGACGAATGTGCTTACTTCGATACGGAGAACTGGGCACCGTGGCCGCGAGTCACTGCTTCTTTTAAGCCCAAGCACTGGGCGGGGCCAGGGCGTGAGAGAGCCTGGCTCATTCGGTCGGGTTAAACCAGAGGTAGCTCAGGCCGCTGTCGCGAGGCGTCGCGAGGCCTCGCAGGTTCGAGCGCCAGGTCGGTTCGATCGACTTCGCGGTCACCACCGAACGGTTCCCGCCCAGTTTGGTGGGGACGACATGGTGTTCACAACCGACACCTTCGGTGGGGGAGTCATCCGTCCTTTTGGGTGCTTTCTCTCGAAGCTTCTTGTTACTAGTGGCGTTTTTGTTCCTAGTAGTAAGGCCCGGAGCACCTAGTAGCGTCCTTGTTCCTAGTAGCTTCTTGTTACTAGTATAGTCATGCCAGGAGCTACTAGCCCTTTCGGCCTCTGCGCCAGAAGCTCAGGTCTGGTCCGAGTCCGGGACGCAGCTGATGACGGAGGAGCAGTTGCTGCAGGTGCTGGGTGCGGATGCAGATTTGCAGGGTTCGTGGTGCGCAGTGAGCCACACTTCCATCTTCGGCATCATCCAAACCGTTCCCTTCGACCTCGCCTATCAGTCGGCGGAGAACACGCTGGGCAGCAGCTGAGATCGGAAGAACCATTTGCTTGTTCCATTTTCGTTTGCTCTTTTTGAGCATGATTATCGGTCTGGGGTGCCAGAGAAGACTATGCATATGAGGTTGACTTCATGCAAATCTGTTTTTTTTCACCAAGAACCATTCCTGATTGCACACATGTCCAGTGCTTATTCTGAAGTGCTTTTTGGGCTTTCCACCATCGCAAGGTGGCTTTATCATTGCTGTCGCCATCGTTCTTGCAGTGGGTGGTTGCCTGTGTTTGCTGTGCCTCTTATACTGCAGCCGACTGCACGCCCCATCCAAAGGACGGACTGGGACGGTTTTTTTTCCGGAAGACTCTCCGCATTTCTGAACATGGAGTCTCTAGAATCGCAAGTCGAAGAAGTCGAAGTTGTTGAGAAAGACCACCTGTTTGTTCGTTTTTCCCGCTTCCCTGTTTGTTTCGCGTCTCTTTTCCAGGCGCCGAGCTGTTTGTGCTTCGTGTGCCGAGCCAGGCCGAGCAGCGCTGATGATGTCGAAGACGCGGGGAAGAGAGGTGAACTTCCAGTGCAGCGAGGTGATCTTAGACGACGTGCAGGGCACGGAGGGCACACGGAAGGCGCGGTCCGGCACGGCGGGGTCGGTTTGGTAGGTCAGGGGGTTGATTGGGTGGTTATGGTTTTCAGAAGGCCATCGCTCTCAGGTTGGAGGCCATCGCTTCTAGGCTGAAGGCCATCGCTTCTAGGCTGAAGGCCATTGCTATTATAAGGGTTGAGGCCATCGCTTCTAGGTTGGAGGTCATCGCTGGTAGGGTGGAGGCCATCGCTGGTAGGTTGGAGGCCATCGCTGGTAGGTTGGAGGCCATCGCTTCAAGGTTGGAGGCCATTGCTGTTAGGGTGGAGGCCATCGCTAGTAGGTTGGAGGCCATCGCTGGTAGGTTGGAGGCCATCGCTGGTAGGTTGACCGATTACCGATTGACTTCTTTTTCTCCCCGTTCGAAAGAGACATTGGGTATCGGGTGGGTCTCGCTGTTTGCAGGTGATGGTTCAGTGGGATGTGAAGCCTGAGAAGTTCATGAAGGACTTGGACAAGTTCAGGGGCGTGCGCCATATCACCACCGACACGAGCGTCCGACCACGTGTGGTCCGTTCCATGTCTCGTTTGTCTAGCCGGAGCGGCAGCCGCCCTGAGCGTTCAGCGAGCAATTGGCTGAGTGATGAAGGAGACGACGATCCGTGGTACTTCGATCTCGATGCGATTGCCGCAAGTGTGTCAAAAGCAGCTGAAGAGGAGGTCACCGGAGAAGAGGAAATCATTGATATTGATGCAGGGATCTCTTTCGTGGAGAGGTCTCCAGGATGTGACTCGGGTGAAAAACAGGTACCATTTCCATTTTGCAATCATAAAGGTTGTCTGTATGTGTAGAAGAGTTTGCGTGTTTGAATGCATGTTATTCTTGTCTTTCTTGTCCAAAGACCTTTCATGAACTTTCTTCATCTTTCTTCACTGGTGACCTTTTCCGAGGTGAAGCCTACGAGGTGGGCGAGTACATCATGTACTGTTCCGTCTCGCACGAACAGATGATCTTTGGAGCGATCACCAGTTGCAGCTCTGGGCTGTCAGAGCCGTGCTCTGACTTCTTGGAGCCTTGGAAGAAGGGACACAAAAATGGTTGGACACGGAGGTAGAAGACCTAATAGCGATGGCCTCCACCCTAATAGCAATGGCCTCCAACCTAGAAGCGATGGCCTCCACCCGCAATGGCCTCCAACCTAGAAGCGGAGGTAGAAGACCGAAAGGAAGGAAGAAGTACACATTCGACGTCTACCTTCCTTTTAAGAATTCTGGCTCTTGCCTGTTTGGACTTCACAGATTCTGAGACATGTGACGTGACGTCTTTGTGTTCTTTTTTCGACTGAAAAGACCGAAAAGGCCATGTTCGACCTTTTCCTTAAAAAAAAGGACCGTGTTCCTTTCTTTAGACCGTTAGACCTTCACTTTCTTTTTGGACGTCTCTCAGATCATCCTTCTCATACCTTCCCTTCTCGCAGACTTTTCTCCCTTCACTTTTGACCTCCTTCGGTGCCCGTACGACGCGTACCGCGCGGACCGACCCGTCGGCGCCCGGTGGACCTGGTCGGAGACACCGTTCGATCGGGACCGCGCAGTCCTTCCGCGCGCGGCTTGCGCCACGCGGACGAGGAGGCTGGGCCTTTGCCCTGCTACGATTGCCGCATGGGCAAGGCCCGGCAACGCCGCTCCGAGGCGGGACCCGTCGGAAGCGGCGGTTTGGAGGAAGAGACGGTTTGGGTTTAGAAGACGCGAAGACGCAGAAGAAGGCTTCCAGTAGATTTTAGCCCAGACGTCAGTTTTTTCCAGGCCCCAGACAGTACTTGTGTTGAATGGCTTTAGCGGATGGCCGATGGAAGAGAGAAGCTGCGCGTCAGGTGCCGATGCAAATGCTGCGGCCGGCGCTGATCCCCGGCACTGCCGTGATGGCCCGTGTAGAGGAGAAGTGGATCCCGGCACATGTGTTGGGCGTGAATCCCTCAAGTGGGACATGCCAAGTCGATTTGGATGATGATAGTGAATCCTGGTTTAGGGTTCTTCGTGTGATTTCTGAATGAAAGACCTTTTTGACGTCAGACCTTTTGTCCTGTTGTTTCTTTTTTTTTTCAGACGACAATTCTGGAGCACCAACAGCAAATCCAAGGAATTGAAAGTCTCCTATGAAGTCTACCAGTTGCCATTCCGTGATCTCCGGCGTCGCTTTTGGCGCGGCCAGCCCTGCCGGCTCTATCGCGGAATCGTGCATGGCTGGGTGAATTGCCTCGTTGGGAAGGACTTAGAGACAAAACATAGACTGATTGTTGTTTCTTCAAATCTACTACGTGCTGTTCTTTCTTTCTTTCTTTCTTTCTCCCTTTCTTTCTTTCTCTCTTCCTTTTCCTTTTCCTTTTCCTTCTTTCTTTCTTCTTGTGGTATGTTCTTCTATTTGATATAATTGCCTCGGGAAGGACTTGATGGAGGAGCTCCCAAGTCTCGAAAGCGAGAAGTTGGGAGGAACGACCTGCATGGCTTCAGTGTTCGTGGACGATCAGGAGGAACCCATTGATGTCCCGACCTACCTGCTGAAGATGGATCACAACTTCACCACTGAAGCATCATTGTAGAGTCCTTTCTGCATGCCTTTTTATGCCAGTAGCGCTTAATGAGGCGTAGGGATGAGCTGTCAACTTGTAATGTCTACTCCTGAAATAGTTGTTTTTCCTAGAGCAAGAACCGAAAGAACCGAGAAGAGGTCTTTTTCTTTTTTCCGGGCCAAGAAACAGGTGTTACAGACCTTGCCAAGCCGTTCTTGCTCTAAGCCTTAGTCCTTTTCAGTCGACAGATTGTCGCACCGAACTGCAGAAACTGCTGCAGAACTCTTCAAACGTCGCGCCCTTAGTCTCGGACCCAACGACGGGTGCCCAAAGATGGCCTGCGGTGCCCCAAAACCCGGTCCAAGTCCCAAAAAGGAGCGGATGAGAAGGCGAGAAAACGAAGGAAACCAACCCGAAGGATGAAAACAGAAACCAATCTGCTTTTGAGAGAGAGAGAGAAGTGATGCAGCTGACCGACGCTGCCATCGTGACCGGCCGTGTAGTTGGTCACACCGCGTCAAACGGAAACACCGCGGACGCGCCCCGTCCTCTTCCGTCGACTGAATCGTCGCTGGCGCGTCAGGGTCGCAGGGTGGCGTAGGTCGCCATGACGGCGGGGCCATGACGGTCCAGGAGCCCCGATCGTAGCGTCCTTGTTCACTCTCGCGACGTGGCCACGACGTGGGAACCTCTCTCGTGCTCGTTCCTCGCTGCGACGCCCGGTCACGCCATGGCTCGCGCCGAGAGCCACGTCCGCTGGTCCGGTTGGAAGACGTGAGACGACGCAGCGACGCAATGAATCCGACCCGATGTGGGAAGCGTTTTCGACTCCGTGGGCAGTAGAACTACCCAGACGCCTTCCGTGCTCCGGGCCTGGGACGTGCGAACGGTGCGAACGGTGCTCTCCGGTCGGTGCAACCCGTTCTCCGCCGCCTTGAGCCACGTCCGAAGGATCGAGAGCCCGTGCGCGAGGCACCAAGCTTTTAAATAAACAACCGAATAGCGGCCTCCAACCGAATAGGGTGATGGGCCTCCAAGCTACCTTTCAACCCTGCACACGGGCGCGTTTTGATATCGAACGTTAGGCCTTGAATCCCCTCTTTGGCAGCCTCGCCCATGCCCACAGCTGGGTCGCTTCGGAGACTTCCGCCATTTCAGCGAACAGCGAACAGCTGCCTGCTGCGCATGTAACGTAAGGCTCTTGGTCGAAGAAAGTGCGATCAGATCCCGCCGCCTTTGGCCTTCGGCCCTTGTTTTGCTGGTTCCTCCTCAAACCTCCCGATCGCGTGCCCGCCTTCGATCCGCCTTCGATCCGCCTTCCGGACGCAGACGCAGATCTCTGATGCAGTCGTGAAGTCTTTCGAATGTGCTACTAGCGATGGCCTCCAACCTGATAGCAATGGCCTCCAAGCGTTAGAAGTCTTCTTGTGCTTCTGCCGTGCTTCTTGGTGTACAAGAAGTGCCAGCCTAATTAGGCCGAATTGTCCTCCCTCGGGGTGTTTCCTTCTTCGTTGTTTTGTTCGCGGCTTGCGCGGTGGTGTACTTTCCGACAAGTGTACAGATCGGTGAGAACAGGAAGCAAACAACTTGTGCAATAGCAGATTGCAATAGAAAGATATTTCAAGCCACAAGAGTCTGTGAAGAGCAAGCAGAGTCAAAGAGGCAAAACTCCAGCAGAGCAAACAGTTTCCCACAGGGCACAAGTGCACAGGAACAAGTCAACAGTTCCAGCAATGAGGGCGCCTCGTCGACACAGAGCTAAATGGGGAAACCAAAGAAGACATTGCACTAGAAGGGACTAATAGAAGCGATGGCCTCCAACCTGATAGCAATGGCCTCCAACCTACTAGCAATGGCCTCCAACCTACTAGCCTCCAAACTACTAGTATAGCGATGGCCTCCAACCTAAGAGTGATGGCCTCCAACCTACTCCAACCTAATAGCAATGGCCTCCAACCTAAGGGCGATGGCCCCCAACCTACTGGGCCTCCAACCTAGAAGCGATGGCCTCCCACATGAGCGCGTTGTGCAAAGTGTAGTGAATATGGGAACATTGTTGGCAAGTCGACGCCCGTGACGTGCATTGATTCTTCTCAACGGACCTTTGAACCAATTGACCCTTCCACCAGGCACGCCATGGCACGCCGTTTGACCAATTTGTTACCTGCCATCATCACCCCTGAGTCCTCACACAAGTGTTTGGGCGCAAGCAATGGACCCACACAGCACGCTCACGCAACCCGCGAGTGCCAGGCGGACTGCGCCAAATGCAACACACCAAACCGTTCTTCTTCTCCGCCGATGCCGGTGGATCAGATCCTTGGCTCAGAGCGATGATGTGGAATGCGTGGCAAGATGGGAGTAATACTCCTGCCAGAACCTGCCGCTCGAATGGCATATGTGGAGGTCGCACGGCCGAATGCAGAGGTAGCAGCTACCGATTGGAGCTCGTTGCCATCTTGCGGAGGGGTTGGGGCATCCGACCACGTTGCCATCCAGCAGCATTCGGCCGAGGGCGAGAACCACAGCATGATTCTCCTGAAGGGGGAGGAGAAACCAACGAGAGCGCTGGAAACCACGCCACAGCTGCCAAACGCTGGCGGCGCGTGTGCAAAAAACGTGGGCGAAATTGCCATGTTGCCACGCACGTGGTGTTCCACCCAAAGGTCTTGGCGTAGCCATGTCAGAGGCTTTTCAGAACCCGAACTAGTCTATCCCATAGGTACCCCAGTAGAGTCCAATAACCTCTGAGTGTTTTGTTGATTTGTGCTACCAGATCCTCCAACTGTCACAGCGAACTGTTTTTTCGACACGACAAGGAAGGACTTGGCCCCGGCCGACTGAACTGGTTTGTGACCACGCTTCCAAATGCCACGGGGCTCCAGAATGGCATTTCAATTCCGGTCGCAGGCCTTCCTCGTCTCCTACGCGTGCACGTTTTAAGGGCTTGCGTGACGCTCGCGTCTCGCCCCTCTTCCAGATTCATGTCAAAATTTTACGGCGCGCCCAGCCGTTATGTGTCCTATGGCCATGGCGCGCCCCCATTTGAGGGAGAGGGTGGCGAGCCATGCATGCCTACGCGGGCGACGTGAATGCCACCTGCGCCCTCGACCGCCAGGGCACTCAGCCACCTGGGCTGGGCTGGAAACGCCGCAGTTGTCTCCACGCTGGGGTTCCCTCATGGGTTCGTTTGCAACCGACACTTCGGGCGTGCGCGCGGGCTCAGCGCGGGCTCAGCGCGGGCTTGGCGCGGGCTCGCGGGCTTGGCGCGGGCCTGAGGGCTTGTTGGGTTCAGCGCGAGCTCGCGCCGGGTTTTCTAGTATATCATTGGAGGGGGCACCTTGCAAACAAATTTAGAACCACAAGCAAACCAGTAACCAGTGTGGCTCGAATTAAGGGCATGTGGCATACGTATGTTGTCAAGCGCTTGTGCAAACATGTGCATTTACACGTGTTGTACAAGCACATCCAGACATTTGTACCTGGACACATGTACCTACACAAACGGACATTCTGACCCGTGCACTTTTAAAGGTTGCAATACAAAAACATATACACAAGTGCGCACACAGTTGAGAAATACAACTGGTGTTGATACACTGGTGTCAATGCACTTGTGTTGCCACCCTCGTGTTCACACTCTTATGTTCAGACTCGTGTTTCTTCCGGTGGAGGTTTCTACTCTTATGTTGGCACCTTTATCTTCGTTGAAACTTTTCCCTGTTAAATAATTCCCTTCTTTTTACGTTCGTGCCTTTATGTGCTAATGCCCTCGCGTACAAAACCTGTTATGTCAATGACCCTGGCTGTGTTTTTCTCCTGTTGATGTTCTGGTGTTGATCCACTGGTGTATGCCTAGCTAGCATCAAGAGATCGTGTGTAAAGAGACATCTCATGCATGTTTGATTGAGGCTGAAGAACCTGTCACGCATGTTTTCGGGGAAAGCGTGTTGACTTCCAAACCAGGCGCCCTGGTTAGCAGTGTTGGCGTATGTGATATATACACTTGTATGGTTATGTACGTGCGAAAATAGCATTGATGAAATATTTTCGGAACGTAGAAGTACACACATTATGCACATATGCATCTATACATATATAAATGTATGTGCCCATTGACACACAGGTATATTTGTATATAATCGTGCACATATACTTGTATTTGCATGTTTTTTTTAAATATTCAAGAACGATATATAACCCCCACCCCAGGCACCATCGAAGCGGGTAAAGGGGGGAGGGGGGATTCCCAAAAAATGTAACTTGTGGCTTGGCACGTGCGTACTTAGATACTACCACCCCCCTAGGGTGCGTCGGCAGATCGAAGGGCTGGGAGGGGGTCTGGAAAATGTAACTTGCAACTTGGCAGGCCTGAACTTATATGTTTAACTCCCCGTAAGGTGCCTCGGCAGATCGGAGGGCTGGGGGGGTGAACAACAGTTGGAACAGCAGCTGGTCAGAGTCATCACCGACAAAGAAGAACAGCAACACACACAAAGTGAGACCCAAAAGGAAGGATGCCAAAACAAAACCCACACATAGCAGAGCATAATCACTGCTATGTTGTTGCCCTGTCTGCTTGTCCCTTCCTAGAAAGAAAAAATGAGGTTGGTCAGGGTCATCATCAACAAAGAAGAACAGGAAACACACCCAGAGCAAGAAACAGGAACATACATGTTCCCACTCAAGGCCCCAAAGAAGGGCAACAAAACGAACCCAAACATAACAGGATCAGCCACACAAAGGAAGGGTGCCCGCCCTCTACGCCGTGGGCCAGCACGCCGCCCTCCTCGAGGCCCACTCTGCCCTGCAGCCCGGGGAACACCTCTACGCCTACTTGGACGATGTGTACGCTACTTGCGCCCCCGATCGGGTGGGCGCCGTATTCGGCGCGCTCCGGGCCGCCTTACGCGACCGCGCCAACGTGCATGTGCACTTGGGCAAAACCCGGGCCTGGAACGCCGCCGGTGAAGAGCCCACCGCGCTCTTGGATGCGCTGCCTCCTGACGCCCGGCCCACTGCCTGGGCTGGCAATTGGGCTCAGCCACCCGATGCCCAGGGCCTCGTCGTGCTGGGCACCCCCCCTTGGCAGCCCCGCGTTCGTGGCCAGCCACTTGCACGACGTGCGCGCCCGCCACGATCTGCTCCTGGAC